AGAGAAAGAATTACATCTGTTTATCTACCTATCTATTTAAAGAACGAACGAGAGAAAGAGAGAGAGAGAGAGAGAGAGAGAGAGAGAGAGAGAGAGAGAGAGAGAGAGAGAGAGAGAAGAGAGAGAGAGAGAGAGAGAGAGAGAGAGAGAGAGAGAGAGAGAGAGAGAGAGAGAGAGAGAGAGAGAGAGAGAGAGGAGAGAGAGAGAGAGAGAGAATGAGAGAGAGAGACGAGAGAACAGAAGAGAGAGCAACAGAAAGAGAGAGAGAAACGACCAGAAAGAGACAGACAGACAGACAGACAAACATAAATAAAGAGGTGGAAGGGGAATAAATAACACAACAAAAACAGAGCCAGACCCCAAACCCGGCCGAACGGAGGTAGACCTACTTGCAACAAACGAAGTCGATTTTGGGCGTGAAGGCGTCCCGGAGGCCCTTGCAATGACCGCTGGCTGCAGGGAGGAAATCCACGTCGATGGAGCAGTCGTTGCCGAGCATGCAGTACCCGGTGCCATTGAGACAGCTGGTCACTCCCTGGATCACGAACAGGCCTGGCGGAGGAGAGAAAAAGGAGAGGCTGGAGGTGTCTTTTCGGGAAGTCTGTGAGCTGGCAGACGACTATTTCCATTTTTATTATTATTATTATTATTATTATTATTATTATTATTATTATTATTATTATTATTATTATCATTATTATTATTATTGTAGTTTCTTTACCTGGGTGTGTGTGTATGGCCGTTTTTTTTTATCTCTTTACCTGGCGTGTGTGTATGGCCGTTTTTTATATTTCTTTACCTGGGTGTGTGTGTATGGTCGTTTTTTTGTATTTCTTTACCTGGGTGTGTGTGTATGGCCGTTTATTTCTTTACTTGGGTGTGTGTGTGTAGGCCGTGGGTTATATGTGTATCTCATTATCTGTTTATTATGTCCATCTAGGTATAGATCTATCTATTTTAGGTGTTCCTCGTCCAGAATGCTTCAATTTACGTTGCCGACTTCATATCATATATATATAATATATATATATATATATATATATATATATATATATATATATATTATATATATTTTTTTTTTTTTTTTTTTTTTTTTTTTTTTTTCTTTTTTTTCTTTTTTTTTTTACGGAATGCATTTCGAACTAAATATATTTCCTCTTAGCATTCATTCATAATTTGTCTAAAAATCTCCTTCACTAATGATCATCATTATCATTTTTAAATATCCATATCATTTTGATTATTACTTTATCATAATATCATTACTATCAGTTAACTCTAGTAGAAAAAATGCCTAAGAACACCAGAAAAGAAAGAAAAATAAAATAAAAGGGAAGAAAAGAAAGAAAGAAAGACAGGAAGAAAAAGTAGGAAAGAAAGGAAGAAAGAAAATGGAAGAAGGAAGAAAATAGAAAGAAAGGAAGAAAGAAAATGTAAGAAAGAAAGAAAGGAAGAAAGAAAAAGCAATTAAGAAAGGAAGAAAGAAAATGTAAGAAAGAAAGAAAGAAAGAAAGAAAAAGAAAGAAAAGTAAA